AGGTGTTAAATATAAAACACTTGATAAACATAAGGTACAGTGAGCTCAGTAACCACTGAGTAAATCTAGAAAATGTTCAGGAATATCATGAGTGAACTTTTTAAGGAATCCATCTATTTAGTCTCAGCATTAGACCAGAAAGGGTCAAGATAAAGTCCCATCTTGCCCTCATGCAACTTGCCTTTCAGATGGATAGACAACAGATAAGTTGTGACAGTGGCTAACTGCTAGGAAGAAGATAAATTAGCATGATGTGGCTGGCAAGGCCAGCGGAAGGGAACACCTTGTTTGCGTAGTCAGGAAAGCATCTTCCAGAAAGAAATGATATTTAACTGTGGAAGTAAAGATACACAATGACCTGCAAGGGGAAGGTGCAGTGAAAGAGAAACATCACTTCAGAAAAAGGCTCTAAAGAGAAATAGCAAAAGGCCCAGCAGGACAGATGGCCAGGGTGGCTGGGAGGGAGGACGGAAGCTTTGTGTAGGGCAGAAGAGAGTGAAGAGCCCGGAGAAGACTGGCTTTTATTCTGACACCAATGGGAAGAAAACCACTGAGGAATTTTAAGCAAAGTGATTAGTAGCATCTCCGTCTTAGAGACAATCAGAACTTTGTGGCTGTACACGCCCTTAAATGTCTGTTTCTTAGACTGTATCACACAAGTCACCTTGTCCAAGTTGTCTTCGCAGGACAACAAATGGGATGAGCCCCTATGCTCCAAGTTATCTGCTGGAGCAGGCTGCCATCTGCTGGAGAAGGCACAATTACAAAGCTATTTGTGCCCAAGGGTGACTGGGACACCCTTAAACCGCTGCTTCCCCTGCATGCAGAAGGAAAGCAAGCACTTTGCAACAGAATAAGGACGAAATGGCAAAGCAAGCCATCCCACACCTCGTCCTCTGCCCTGACTTCCAAGGAGTCCACCTTTGAGCTAGCCAGCCTCCAGTCCTTGAGTGTACTAAATAGGGTACAGCTGCTTTTGAAGAAAAGGTCAGGAGCACCTCTCAGAACAGATCGAGGAGCCACGGGATAAGAGGGAAGCGAGGCGAGCAGTGGCTTCAGAGAAGCAGGAATGGTGTTACAGGGAATAGTGTCATGATGACTGAGCTTTGGGGAGAGAAATGCCTCGTGAACACTTCAGCAGGTTTTGGTCTGTATTCGATGGGATGTTCCCTTTGAGATACTCACTATGACACTACTCTTCAGAGCTTTCTGAAGGAAAATGCATGCTTGTTTTAGACATACTAGTGTTTGAAGACTTGGCTTAAAGCCATCCCGTGCCATATTGGGCAAGATCATGAAAACAAATACTAGGGGTTCTATGCCTAAGTGAAGCTATATGATCTGCTTCTTTTGTTCATTCAGACAGCCCCCTGGTCTGCCTTAGCCCTCAGGGTCTTTGAGCAAGAGATGAAAGATTGGGATAGGAATATGCCTGAGGGTGGGAAGGCAAAAGTAGGGAGACAGCATGTCTTCCCATTGGGTTAAAAACCACTTCGGAGAGAAGTGCACTGGACTATGGTGATGGCACAGGGGTGACTTGGTGATGGGAAGCCCACGGGGATTACAATTGAGATGAAAAAATAAATGTACAAAATGATGTAAAAATAAATTATTATATTAAAAAAAAAACCACTTCATCAGTCGGCCTGTTCTGCACCCCACTCTGCCTCTGGTGAATCCTCTCACGCCCCTGAACCTCTGGCCTCTACCCCAGTTTTATATGCATAAATAAATAAATCTTAAAAAAAAACACTGATAAAACCACTGACAACACACTTTTGACAATCTCACTGTGTCAAACTAGAGTGAAAAAAGATCAGGTCCACAAGTTAGCTATTAAGTGGTGTCTTCTCTAACAGCCTTAAATATGTATTTTTGTGGCATCTCCACACTCAAATCTACTTTTTATGTTCCTTTTCACCACAAGGTATTCCATTAGTAGTGGCACATGGGTGTCATAGAATATCTATATCTATATCTATATGCCTATATAGATATATAGATATAGATAAGAGAAACTCAGGTTTAAGGAGAGTACAGTGTCAAGTAGAAAAAGAATAATAATATAGTGTATATTACCCTCTGAGTAAGAAAGGGGGAACACATACACAAGCACAAGCCTGCACAATATCTTCTTGTATTTATATAAAGATACATGGAAACTAAAAAACTATTAACTAATAAGAGTGGTGACCTCTCAAAGTGGAAAGGATAGGGTGGAGAGAGATATTTCCTTGTAATCTTCTTATATTGTTTCAGGATTTGAGTCATGTTAATATCTTCCAATTTTTTTTTAAAGATTTATTTATTTATGCATACAGAGCTGGGGTACAGGCCAGAGGTGCAGGGGTGGTGAGAGGATTCACCAGAGACAGAGTGGGGAGCAGAACAGGCAGACTGACGAAGTACACTGCTGAGGGGAGCAGCGGGTGTGTCAGGAGAGGTCTGCCGCACCATGTGGGTCACCTCTAGGACAGGTGGGGATTGAACTCATGAGGAAGTGGCTTTAGCTTCTTTGTGCTGTGCTTTAACCCACTGTGCCACTAGGTAGGGCCAGTGTCTTCCAAATGTTAAGAAATTTTTTAATTAAAAAAATTCATTTCACATGATTTTCTTCCATTCGCCTAAATTTGTCTGAGTTCCTGCTTCTTTTAAAACACTTTCCTAATCCCTTGTAAATCCAGATTAAATACTCTGGGTTCTGAAGATTTAAGATTATACTGTTAGTCTCTATCCCAATCTATTTTAGACAAGCAGCTTTAAGAAGTATTTGGGGCTCTATTTTATCCTTAGGCATCTTCTCCTTTCCACAAGCAACTGGTAGTGCCACTTCACTCAGAAAAATAGGTCACTTTACTTTGTCTGCTCTGGATGTTTGTTGGCTAGAGACATGTGTCACCTCCCCAGCCACACTGACAGTCCTTCCAGAATTAGACCCATGTCTTATTTATCTACAACTCACTGCTGTACCCTGAACACAATAAGTGCTCAAAAGGGTTAGCAGTGGTAGGGCTGATACCTGAGAAAGCTAAGAGAAGGGTGGGACCTAGTTATAATTTTTTTTAATTTTTTTTAAAGATTTATTTATTTGTGCATACAGAACAGGGATACAGGCCAGAGGCTCAGGGGCAGCGAGAGGCTTCACCAGAGACAGAGTGGGGAGCAGAGCAGGCAGATGTACGAAGTACACTGCTGAGGGGAGCAGCGGGCGGGTCAGGAGAGGTCTGCCACGCCATGTGGGCACCTCCGGGGCAGGCGGGAATCGA